TATATAAATCTTCTGGCTTTTACTGTTTTTTCCTGCCGACTTGCCATTTGGGCCCCAGCTTTTAACAAAAGTCTACTATAAACAATATATGGAATCTAATATATATATTTATATAGATCTATAGCCCATATATACTAAATAGGCCTATAGACTGTAGGTATTGTTTTTTGTAATAGAGGGAAAGAAACAAATATAATTTAGCCTCACTGTATTATTATTTCAGTCAGTGCGTGCACACCGTATATTTTCTGGCATTTTTTTCCAAACCTGTTTACATCCCTGTATATATTTTATAGAAATACACACACACACATGCCTTGTTACTTCATAGGAGGGGTTGCACCTCCTTTTGATGTGCAGTAGGTATATGTTATTACCCTCCACGGTACTAGACACTGTGGGAAGGTTACTGGACTGGATAACATTAACATATAGATTGGCCTACTTAGGAAAGGTTTGGGTCAGGATGACATAGCCTAATGATGGAAAAAGTAAGGCTCTTGAGATGTTAAGAATTCCTGATGATTTTTCCCAAATAAATTACAAATTTGCTCTTTTTTTTGGCTCTCATGCATGCTTCTCTCTCTCTATCTCTTTCTTTCTCTTCTCTCTCTCTCTCTCTCTCTCTTTATTTCTCTCCTGTCTCTCTGTTTTTCTCTTTCTCCCTCCCTCTCTCTGTCTGTCTTTCCACTCTTTCCCCTTTGTCTGTGCATATAAAATAATATTGATATTAGGCCTGATTATTCATTTATTTAGCACATTTCCGTGCTCCACTGCATGATCTATGGCCTCTGTCTTTCTCTCGCTGTCTCTCTTTAATATTTCTCTCTCTCTACTCTCTCTCTCTCTCTCTCTCTCTCTCTCTCTCTCTCTCTCTCTCACTTTCTCTATTTCTCTCTCTCTCCCTCCCTTTCTCATGCTCAAAGGATACTTAAATTAAACTGAATTACAGTAGAGCACGGATAGTTTGCTTTCGTCGGGACCGCCTCGGTTGTTCAAAGGATCTGTAGTTAGAGGAATTTCTTACTAAGTTAACTAAGATAAAGAAAAAAAAACGGGACTGCAGGCACAGTTCGATGGATGCGTAATTTTGAGTCTTCTGTGTTCGACCTATCTGTGTTTTACTGTACATGGAAAAAGATGCCAGTACAAGTGGAAGACATTTTTTAAATTGTAATTTTGGTATGCTTCTATATGTTGGGTAAAATATATTTTGTCTTCTCATGACAACATGATGTATTTCATCTGGCACCTTTAAAAAAAAACCCCAAAAACCCCAACCAAACCTCCAAATGTTCATCTCAAGAATGTAATGCCTACATTGTACTTGTATTGTTTTAAAGTAGTAAACATGTTTAGAAGTCTACACGCACAGTACTTCAACATAAATTAACCTTGTATTTTCGCTGAAAAAAAAAAGTCAGCCTTGACTTAATCCTTGTTAATTTTATTTTGTCTGTGAGGATCCTAGGGTGGCACATAAGGACATTGCAACAAACTAGATTTGAAGACCCAATGTATATAATGTTCACCCCTAGGCCCTGTTCTTTGGACACTTGATTGACATAAACGGAAAGTCGATGGTTGGCAGATGCTCTAATGTGGTTTGCTCCTTCTTTCCTGTAAAACATCTATTGTTCTCATCCCTCCTCCTTCTTTATTGAGTTTGTTAAGTTCTCTTGTTACTCCTCTAATCTTCTGCACTTATACGACCTTATTGTGTTGCAAATGTAGTAAAACTCTTACTTAAAAAACTAAAGAGAGATGAAAGAAAGAGCTGTTTTGAAATGGATGGGGATATTTCAATGACTAA